TTGAGAGCCGCTGTGCCAGAGTCAAATTCGTCGTGTCCAGCACACCTGGCTAATAAAGCTGATTCTGAACAGGAGGAACAACATCGATTATCTTCTCAGTTCCATATATTTTAGACATTATCAGAACATGGCTCATGTTCAGATATTTGTGTTGAATGTTTGTGTTCACGCAGACAAAAACTCCCTAAAAGAGTCACTGTCTATTAGAGACACTGCTTCTATCAACGCAAAGAGTTAAATATAGACACACTGGGAAGTTTGCGTTGCGTCTGTAGCCTCCTTCCTGGTGTCACCTGTGTGGGAAATCCCCAGTGATTGCGTCACACAGGTAGATCTGTCAGCTAGACAGTCGACCTGAATTACTTCAGGTCACTGACACACCTGTCTGTCATAGACAGGTGAAGGTGAAGCCAAAAAACAAACATATCTTATGAAATCTGAAGCCACAATTGCTGTTATCAGATCAGACTAAATGTTATCTGATGGACTCAAACCCAGTCGGACACACAGCTGTCTTTATGAGGACATTCACTAATAATGTACATCCCCCAGCCCTCATATCTACTTGAGGTTTCTGTACTTTGAGTATTTTCATTTTCTGCTATTTTCAACTTCATTACATTTTACAGAAAAATATTGTATTTTTTTTTACTCTTTACATTTATTTGATAACTTTAGTTACTTTTCAGACTAAGATTAATTAACCAAAATACTGTTTAATCATAAAACTTTATTGATCCCTAGTGGGAATTCATAGGCTACCCAGCAGTATGTAAAGTACTTCAAAGTATAAGCATAAAAGGAAGTTAACATCAGCTCTACTTTTACCACCTGTAACATTAAATGTGATGTGTACAATAGTACATCAGTATTATAATCCAATAATATGATCTACATTAATGTGAGCTGTGCCATTCTGCATGATTAGTACTTTCACTCTTGGTACTTTAAATATATTTTATGCTACTTTTTTGTACGTTGTTACCTCTAAATAACAATTTGAATGCAGGACTTTTACTTGTAAAACAGTACTTTTACACTGTGGCAATGCAACTTTTACTGAAATAAACAGTCTGAGTACTTCTTCCACCATTACCTGACCCAGAACCTGAAAACCTGGTCTGACCCCTCAGACAGCCCTTTGAAGATGTGAGGACCAGATAACATGTCTTCACAATGCACACACACACACACACACACACACACACACACACACACACACACACACACCAAGCTTTATATTCACTGTCAGGGCCCAGGCTATCAAACACAGATTGTAAATGTTTATTGACAAAGGGAAGGGAACTGAGTGAGAACAACCTGAATCCTGCGAGGTGACGAGATCAGGTCTGACTCTGGGCAGGACGACAACAGGTTCAGATCTGCCAATGTGACAGCAGCGGTTTGAGGAAGGCTTTGGAGGGAGCCAAGACTGCAGGAAGTAGGGGTGCAGCAGGTGCTGCAGCACCCCCTGGAGGATGGTATAACACCTGCATGTCTGCCCCAACAATAAATTTCAAACATAAATAAATAATTAATTTTTAACAAATTATTATTTTATTGGTTACGTTCATATTCTAACAATACTTTGATCTTCATAAGTGGTTAATAGTGGATCTTGGGTTTCATGTTTTCAGGCAGTGTGCAACAAGTATGTGACCTTAAGGTCAATTTTTTAAAATATGTGATGATTCCTTCTTGCAAATCAACGTATCTAAGACAAAAGAGATGCTGTAGAGACAGTGAGCCAGTACAGACACCCGGGCACCATCCTGGATGACAACCTGACCTTTGATGCCAGCACGATGCCATATGTAAAAAGGTCGACATATTGGTAGACAGGTGAAGGACAGTTACAGATCACTTTTGTATGTTTTATTCATCCATCACTGAGTCAGTATTAACTTTCACAATGATGTGTTGGTTTGGCAGCTGTGATCAACTGTGAGTGTTACAGGAAAGGAGACAAGACAAAGTCCTCCTTCAGGTCAGTAGGAGACATGACTTTTAATGTGAAAATCCAGCAGGCTTCACATTGTCGTAATAGCGTTTCATTAGAAAAAAGCTGATCAGCTCCTGTAATTTCACCAGCGAGAGAAGAGGCAACATTTATATTTAAACCAAACTTCATTTCTTTTGAAGTAAATAGGAAGTAAATTAATCTGACTAAGTTTAATTTCCTTTGTTAGACCTCACAGCTGGACATAGTGTGTCTGTCCTCTGAATCGCTGCCAACCTCGGTCGTGTTGTCTTTATACTGCCTGATTATAAAATGAGGAAAATCACACTGAAATAACACAAACAGAGGAAAATGTTCTTATTTGTACCAAACTTTATTTTCAAGTAAATCCTTTAACACACAGTTCATTCGGTCTGAGTGTAACATGAAACGTTTAAATACCCTAACATAATAATTCATAATAATCAACCATAACATGGCAAAAGGCACGGACTCCTTTCAGCTCAGGCATTAAAACATTCTGACCAATAAATAGTTCAATAACTAATGAGTCAGTATAAATATAAAAAGGTTAAATATCTTCTCAAGTTAAATACGTCAATAAATAAAAGTATAAAAGTTGATGGCATAAAAGGTGATAAATAAAACAGTGCCTCTCTGCTCAGGCTTCAGTAGAAACTATAAAGACAGTTGAAGCTTCAGTTTGCAGCTGTAGTAGCCGTGGAAATTTTAGGCTGGACGCAGAAATCCTGCAGGTAGGTGAAGAGGATGTCGATCTCTCCCACTGCCTTGTTTATGCCTCGCTCGCCCTCTGTCTGGAACAAATAGAGACACATTAGAAACGGACTAGAACAACTTAAAGGATGTCCAGTCATTATTCCTCTTCTCCAATATGAAAAGACCCAAACAGTAATGAATGAACATGGTCTGAGACTCTCTGGGGACACTGTCTCCTGTGTCTGTACAACTACAGCATCAAACGTGTATCAGTTCGCCACTGAAAGTAGTCCCCAACAAATGCACTGTTTCCTCCAGTGAGCAGCTGATTTGCTAAGTCTTTGTGAAAAAATGAAGCAAAATATTTCTGAGTTGTTTTTAAAGCTGAGAGCCACAAATGTCAGTGTGCACTCGTTTAGCTTCCTCCTCCCTCTATAACGATGATGTGCAGCTCTGTGCTTCTAAAAAAAATAACACAACTCGTCTGCAGCAGCAGGATTTCCAGTTTTCTCAGTCACTCTGACATTTATCTTTATAATCTTACCTTGAGCTTCCTGCGAAACTCCACAGCGTGGTGATGGTCATGGTAGTGAGTCACATTCTGAAGAGACAGACAGATGTTGTACGTTAGCAGCTGTTATCAGCATGTTCACCTTTTCACACTGAAACCACACAAAGTGTTATCTGTTCTAAGATCAACCACAACGCCACCACACACAGCAAAAAACAGCTCTTTATGCTAACACACTGAGTCTGTTATCAAGGGTGAAAACAGTCGACTTTCTTAGAAATCAGTGATTTAAAATAAGATTATTTACTCTTATTTCTTTTTATATTCATTAAAATTTTGGGGTTCATTGACAATCTGTGTCTTTCTTTTGTGCTCACTGTTCACTTGCATTTGCTCTACATGAGATGATGGATCACACTCTCTTGTGAAGCTACAGCCAGCAGTTAGCTTAGCTTAGCATAAAGACTGGAAACAAGGGGCAGCTACCAGAACAAAAAGTGTAAAAATAAGGCACTATTTCTTCCAGAAAGTGACTGCTCCCGGCCCAGAAATGGTTGGGCACATAACCCCCATGAGACTCGACAAGAATCAATTAAAATCCTTCTCTACTCACACAGCCGTGGGCCTGCAGGTCCTCGCTGACTCGAGAGAGGTCGTTCTTCAGCCGGTGCATTCTGGGATGCTTGATGTCACTGTGACTCAGGATGTTGTGCAGGTAGTAGTCAAGGATGTTGGCGTGGAGGCAGCATATCTTCAGGTGATCCTGGGGGAGGCCAAGAGGTCAAAGGTCAGGACTAACACAGCAACACATTCGTCTCTGATCAGTCTCACTTTGATGTGAGGCGTTTGTGGGTGAAGCGATTCTCACCTGGGCGGTGTTGACTCTGGGCATCAGTCTGGTGCCAGCGTCCTCCTCCGTCTGCACACCCTGGGCCTGAGGACACACACGAGACAGAACGGCGTCACATTTGTATCTTTACTAAGGCTGTGACCATGGGTGGGTAGGCTGGGTATAATGAGGCTCATGAGTGCAACATTTCTGAAAATGTGGACCAGGTACCAAAAACAAAGCATTTGTTAAGTCTAAAAATATTCAAAAATTTAAATACTGGGTCTAAACAAACTGAAATTAGCCTCCAGTGGATCCTTTGAAGAGTAATTACTTTTCTTCTTAAAAAAAGAAGCACTAAATTATTAGTGGCAAAAATGCTGACTTTAGGATACAATGAAACCATATTTGTGACATTAATATTGTGGAATTATATGTACTGTCTACTGGTGATAAATTTAACAACCACACAGATTATAAATTAATTAAAATTTGCCTCACTGTGACATTAAAATGCTGCTTACAAATTAATGCTTAAATACATTTTGCTGTGTCTGAACAATAGTTACGTACTTCTACATATTATAATTTATTTTGTAGTATTGTTGCGTTTACATTTAACACCAATGAAAAGATCTTAATAACAGAATTGTTATATAATTACATTATCAGAACAAAGACAGAAGTAATAATAATAATAATAATAATAATAATGTTACCTCTGGCACTAAATTCATAATGTCACTTTAAAGTGTTAAAGTTGGACCACTCACGTGCTGCGACACTTCTCGGACGGCCTGGTACGTCTCCGGGTTTCGTAGAGGCTGACTGAGAGGCCGGCGCACAGGGAGCGCTGCTGCCTGCTCAGCCCAGCCAATCAGAAGCAGTGGCAGAAGGACGAGCATGGTGGTGGCGGCGGCTGCATGAAGGAAGGATGCGAGCTTCATCTTTCTGGGAGAAAAGTGATCTTAATCCCTTCAGAGTGAGGAGAAGTCAGTGTTTTCACCTGCAAGACATAAGAAGATGCGATAAGCTGCTGTAACAATCAGTGAAACTCTGGGTGTATGTGCTGCAGCTGAATGTGTCACCTAACCTGTCAGCAGATGCTGTTGTGAAGACGTCTCTGTGCCCCGTCTCTTTATACAGATCAACCCTCCGCCCCCTCTGCAGAAATATAGGACATCCAAAAAACCCCATGTCACGCATGCACACAGGTCAGTGCTGAGCTGGTGCTGTTTATTTACTGTCACTTACACAAAGAGGAAATGAAACTGTCAGTCAAGGTATGACAACTACCTCTATTAGTTTATGTCATTGATTTGCTAGGAGGATTTTAATTGTACTTGTCTAATGACATCATTTCCTCCTGTGTGCGCTCCCTGGTGGATTACACACTAATGCAGAAACTTCCCCCAGACAGAAACGAACCCATCCAACCGGCTGAGGAACCTGATGGCACATTAATGTTTGTCATTATGCAACACTTAACATGCTGCAGAATGTACCACAGGGCACTAAAAATGATTACACGGTGATGTGTCAGGTTTGGCAGTAAAGAGGAAGTCATTTTGTGTATGCAAGGACTAAAACCATTACAGAGCATCAAATGATAATAACACGAAGGTTTTCATTTTAATGTAGTGCAGCGTTTAAATAAATTGCCAGAAAATTAGCACAAGAACACTAATAACTGTTTCCATCTACTGGCGTTGTGGGCTTGTTTGCTGAGATAAACAGCTTCTCCAGACGATGCCATTAAACCAGAAGGGGATGGAATCTGTTAGTTTGATGTGTTAGTATGAGGAAGGTCACAGGCTCCTCATCACTCCACACACAGATGTTTGCATCTGTTCACTGGGAGTTCAGGCCACATGTTTAAGCGTGTATGTCCTTTATTGATGAACACCGCTTCATTCACACTCCAACCTTCCCACTCCAACCTTCCCACCTCAGCCCACTAGTAAAAACTTTTTAGGACATTCTCTTTTTCTTTTTTTTTTAATATGCTGCTTTTCAACTCATGTTTTTATGCACATATTGAAATTGCACATAAAAACAGGTGAGTGGAGAACACTGTGACAAAGTGAAAGAGTCTCTGGTAGTGATGAAACTGAACCTGCAGCTCCCCTCAGCTCCACGTGCAGTGGTGTTTGTCTCAGCCCAGCTCTGGGTTTGGTCTCCCCCACCTCCTGAGGGAAACTTCTGGCTCTGTGGCTGCTAAACGCTCTACTGTGTCCACCAGCTGGTCTCTGACTGCGTCTGTCTGCTGTTTGCTGCTGAGCAGGTCATGGACCAAAGCAGTACAGTTGCAGATTCAGATGATGTTCTCTGAAGGTTCATCACTACGAGTGACATTGTGTTCACCGTGACAAAAAGACTGATCACCTGTGCTTTAGAGCTGGGCTTTACAGCTGTGGTCCAGGGGCCACTGAGGACAACTGCTGTGGAGTGGATACCCAGAAGGGGCCCCTTGGCTTTTCTAAATCTTATATAGTTGCATGAATTTGTTTATTCACAGGCAATGAGTAATACGTGGGAAAGTGTTTATAAAATTAATAAAAAAATAATGATTCCTACAGTGAAACAAAATTATTGAATGCACGATCAGGGATCATCTGCAGTGCCTTCACAGACCACCAGGGGGCCACGGACCGCTGGTTGAAAACCCATGATCATTAATGCTAGCACCTGGAATATCCGCCAATCTTATCCAGCGCTGACCTCCTCTACTGGAGGAATCTATTCTCTCCCCCTCTGGGTGGAGATATCGGTCCCAGAGTAAAATGCAACGGATGTAGATTCTCTTTTGTTCCTAGCGCAATGGATGCACTTAAGTCTTGACTGTACTGTTCAGTAGCAATTTACTATGGTTCTTTTTAATTTGGATTAAGTCCTCTATCCACTGTTCAGCACTTTACTATATTGGATATTTTTAACAAACATGTCCATTTTATCTCTGGTTGTTTGTACCATTATTGTTGTGATCAATGTCCCTTCTTGTTATCTTCATGTTTTCCTCATCTGCTATTGCAAACCAAATTTCCCCTCAAGGGACAATAAAGATCTGAACTGAACATGATAAGACCCTCATGGTTCAACCAGTAGCAACCATATACTACTACTATTACTGCTAATAATAATAATAATAATAATAATAAAGGCAGAAATAATGACTGTTATATAAGAGCTGAGATACAGCTGCATATCATTTGCAAAACAGTAAACATCAGTGCCACCCCCCGAGTGAAACATGTAAACCAAGAATAAAAAAAGGAGCTGGAATAGATCCCTGAGGGACTCCACAACAAAACATGCCATTGCAATTGACTGCTCCATTTACCACTACATGGTATCAGCTACATCAGAATAGCTCAGCATCACTGATACTAATGTCAGCCTACAGAGGCTTATTATGGGTCCTGACTCTCTTCTCAATATCATTATTTTCTTGGCAAGACTTTCCGGGTGATGCGTGGATCGAGTGGCTGGGTCTTCTTCCTGTTTTCTTGTATTGTGCTGAGTGTGGGTGTGTAAAACCCCGAGAGACTGATAAAAGGTATCACAGCTACAATGGACTAGCATGTGTTCTATTTTAAACTGTTTCATTCTGAATTGACCACATTTACTAGTATACTGCTTGTAGCCACATTTTCTCATCAAACTGTTGCAGTTTTTTTTTATTGGTTCCATAAACTCATCAAATCAGGTGTTACAGCATCAATGCATCAGCATGAGTCATGACATGTTGCGACATGTTGTACATAATGAGGAAGATCAAAAGTGGAACACCTAGCTGACAACGACAGGGAAATAACCAGGTGAACAGTGAGGCAGAACTGGGTTCTGCTGCTGGAAGTTTGGACATAAATTCAAAACTGATTTCACTGAGATATTTGATCATCCAGTCTGTACAGGGGAAGCTAACTTTAAAACAGTGCAGGAGGTTGTTCTTGCACCGTCGATGACATGAAACTAGGGTGCAGGTTAACTTCTGCATCTGCAGGTTGTTGCACCAGAAAGCACTGATAATATGCACAATCACTGATCTATCACATCCTGTTGTCCTCCCAGTGAAGATGGTACTTTTGTCTATATAAACAAATATTTGCTGTATCAGATCTGTATTTATATATATATATATATATATGTATATGTATATGTATAAGTATATGCTACGACTTTCTTTCCAACCTGCTTTATCAAATCTGATTCTCAGGTTCATTGTCATAATACTACACAGGTTTATCATCTTCACCTTCATATAAACCAGTATTTCCTCAGGTATAAATGTATATTACTGTTTTAAAAACTCACTGTCTTTATACATTTTTAAAAATAAATTGTCACCACATTTAGTTCTTGACATGTAGTTAATATTTTTGTTTTTAATACGTAGTTTCATTGCTTTTTATGACTAATGTGTGAACTGTGATTCTTCTGATTTATTGTCCTTGTGTTTTTATTCTTTTATTCTTTATTATATAAATGTTTGTTTTATGTTGAGGGGAGGACTTGTGGCCTCTTCTGTCACTGTGGTTTCATTTTGTTTGCTGCTCTATTATGTGCACAAATAAAATAAATAATAAGTGAATGGAGACAATTGGCTGAACCATATGATGAACAACATGTGAGACTGTGTTTGATGTGACAATGTGAGGGGAAAGTGATGTGTGACGCTGTTTCCTGGTCACTACATTACTACAGCAACAAATCTGAAACCACCTGTTGTCTCCTCACACCAGTAAGGCCGCTGCTGGTCTGCGTGGATCACCAGGACCTTCCAGAGGGTCCGTTTACATCTACGGCAGTGCAACCATAACCTGCCTGATCATTTCATTTACTGCTCCACATTAAAACCCTCGTTCATTCATTCCATGTAACAGCTCTGAAGACTTAAAAAATGAACATTTTGAGAGACGGGATCTCCCTGGTGTGGAGCTGTGAGCCATTTTTCTGTTGGGCGACAAATCCCTCAGACTGAAACTCAGATGACGCCTCCAGGTCGATGATAAAAGATCTTTCCCCGTGTGTTGAAATTGCGGCAGTAACAGCTACTACTGGCCATGGAAGTACAATTTAAAGTTTTTTTGTGTGTGTAAATTATAACACCATTTAAGACAATTTCAGGATTTAAACAGGATCATTTTAGACTGTTAATACTGTGTTGTCCTGTTTCACCCACACCCTCCCTCAGCTTCACACTGTTTGTTGGCCCGTTTGTGGCCCGTGGACTGTTACGAGGGGAATTTACAAGCAGCAGGTTCATCTGCAGTTCAAACCTGAAGGTGTGTGCACTGTGTGTGTTGTGTGTTTATGGGGCACCGAATGTAAAAATAGCACGTAAACTAATTTTCTCACATTTAGCTGAATGTGACAAGTTTTCTCACATTTAGCTAAATGTGACAAAGTCTAAATGTAAATGTTAAATATAAATGTAAATGTTAAATACAAATGTAAATGTTAAATATAAATGTAAATGTTAAATGTTAAATGTCTCGCCAAGTGTAAAACTGAATATTTAGTAGCTCCACAGCCTTGCCCTATTACAGTGCAGCACACAGCCATGATGAGCCATGATGTGGAACTCAAATCAGTGATGATGACTCAAAGACCTCAACACAGTCCCGCTCACACCTGACTCTGGGTTTGAGGTCTTTGAGTCAGCTTCACGTTGCTGCAAAGTGAATTGTTTTGGATGGATGGCTGAATAAAACAAGACATTTGAAGATGACAACGTGGGCTCTGGGAACTTGTGACACTTTTCATACTAAACAACCAACACAAAAACTCCTAGACAAGCTTCACCACACCAGCCTGTGTCAGCTGACAGCGTCCCTGTAGTGTAAGACTAATTAAAGATAAAGGAATGATGGAAAAATCAGTAGGGACATACATTTATTTGTCTCTATGTCCCAGCTGCATGTAACAAAATTTCTTAGTATTATGACTCTTCAATTAACATGACCTGTACTCAGATAAATGACAGAAAACTCAATTTAAAAAAAAACTTTTTTTAGTTTTTGCTAAAATAAGCTCATGATAATAAATATTAAGAACACAAAACTCCTCAAAAGGCCTCCTATAGCATCTCCTGTTAGCTGGCAACTACACACTATAATAGGTTATAACCAAAGTTTAAGTACCAAGAATAATATTCATCATTGTGACTTTTTAACACCTTTGAAGGCCTTTTTGTTTTTTTGAGGGAAATGAATTCAGTAGTTTTTGTGTGAGACCCGCAGATACCTTGGCTGAGGTGGTTCAAGAACGGCTCCTGGACGCGTCCCACATCCAGCCGGGGGAGACCACAGGGCGGACTGGAGGGGAGTTAAATCTCATTTGACCTGTGATTGTTTGTGGATCCAGCAGGAGGAGCTGGAGGACGTGGCTGGTGTGAAGGTCATCTAGACACCCTGGCTTCACCTGCTGCCACTGCTGGAAACACAGGACTGTGCAAACATTGAGGCACTTTGGATGTTTCATTTCTTATCTGTGTTCAGTATGAATGAGCCCAAACCTCCACAGAGCCATAAAGAACTCTACTCAGAGACCAGAAGGCCCAAAAGACCTGCATCAAGGGGTCCTGACCTCAGCATCACAAAGTCAGTCTGCCATCATATGCAAAGCAGAGACACTGAGACAGCCTGAGCCCACAGAGGAACTGGGGGCAGCCCCTCTGAGATGCTGACGAGTACCTGGCAGACTGAGGAGACCGGGGGCTGGTTCAAAGGCAAAGGGGGTCACTACAATACTGGTCTGGTTTAGGTTTGTCCTCTTTACTGCACTGCGGATTAAGTTAACAGATAAAAACTACTCAATGGACTGTTTGTGAAGGGAATTTACTGACAGTTTGACTGATGGACAGAAACAAGCTACATGAGAAAAAGTACCAAGCCAAACATTCAAAACTAAGACGTAAAAATGGAAAACAAATGTCAGTGAAGCTGAGGGAAGCTGCACCTTTTACATTTTTATCAGAAAACTGGCTCTGTGTCCTGACATTAAAACCTGATGTTTAATATGGCTTGGAGCTGGAGTTACAGTGCAATGTGGAAAACATCCCGAGAAGAAACAGACAGCAAGCTGCTGAAAGCCTGCAGTAAAGGGGAAGCGCATCACTGCCAAAAGTCTGAGAAACGGTCCTTTACCTAGTCGGACCTCTTCTCTGGAGAGGAAGCAAGCAGCATGTAAGCAGAGGAGGGGTTTGGGATTTACCTTCTAAACAGCCAGGTTTTATCAGTTATTGTTTGTCAGTTTATCAGTTTGTAATGAGATAAAAACAAATGTCACATTTATCACCGAGATCAGGGACCACACAGTAAGCAACAAAATCACCGACTTCACATCGTTATTACATGTGTAAAAAACCTCGATTACAAAACTGTAATGAATCTATAAAAATGCACAAGTCTATAAAAATATGTCACACTACAGCTAAACTCTCAGCTCTACAGACAACACGCTGGTCCCTGTGGTGACAGCAGCGACCTGGTCAGGGGGTCAGAGGTCATCTCTTCCCCCAGAACTTCTCTCGTCTCTTCTGGGCTCGCTCCAGGACGGCGGACGCCATGGAGCAGGAGGCTGCTGAGCGCCACGACATCACAGAGAGCTGGTCATCTAGGCAACAGGAGAGAAGATTCAAAGGATTAATGACAGATGTATAATTATGTTTTGTTTTTTATTTTCACGTGTAGAGACGTTTTTAATTAAAGGTTGAAGAGTTTCACCTTCATCGAAGCCACAGCCTCCTCCTGAGCACTGCAGCTCCCGGATCCTCAAACCCAGCTCGCCTGAGGAGACACAGGGACGTCAGCACTACATATAACAGCCGAATCCCCAAACTGCATCCACGTTTCCCCCACTTGTGTCCTTTGTGTCTCTTAGCCCTGCCCACGTAAGATGCAAGGAGAAGCTGTGAGGAGAGAGGAACCGAGGAAACAAGTTTTAAATGACTTGAGACGTCCTTTCCTTGGTCCATCATATGAAGTAGCCGGATTTCCAATAAAGGGGCGTCAATCTGTAACAAACTTCTGTGAAGGATTCACTTGTACTGTATGTCCTCGGTTACAACTCCTCCACCAGTCTCCTTGCTCCTCAGAGCAGAGATAAGAGCTTTGGCATGTCCATCATCATGACGGACTGGAACGACTTCCAGGTCGAGTGAGGACCAAGGAACAATAAAATAAGGGAACTGGGATTCGCCTCATGTACAGTGTAGAGATCCAGAGCCATCCAGACATTTGTAACTGTGGTAAATGTTACAACTCCAGCCATGGAGCAGGGACAGCGGCTCGCTACGCACATTTGATAAAGAATCTAGTGACCTTTAATGACGATAAAAATGGAGACAAGAATAGTTTAAGTCTGTTTCTTTGCATGATGCTTTTACTGATACAGCAACTTTTCCACTTCAGCCAAGAGTTAAAACGTTTTCGCAGTTTTCAGATGTTTTTTAGTTTCCATCATTTCCAGTTCTTTAGGCTCCAATCAAAACGGCTGATGAAAACAGGTGGGAACAGACCCACTGGCCACAATGGTCTAATACACCCGGAGCAGCCAAAGAGAGACATCTCTGGTGGTAGATGAAATTTGTTATCACCAGCAACCTAATCACACGCTATGCTTAGTTGAACCAGACATGTTGCAGGTTAAATGTGAAATCTGACCTGTGGAGGAAACTGAGTCAAAGGAAAACAAGAAGGAAGTAAAGATGAGAGGAGGGGAGTCCCTGTGTTTCTCCGTCTGCAGAGTTATTACCAAGTGCTGCAACAGTCTGACGTCAAATGGGGAGAAATGCTGGTCCGGGCCAAAGCTGGGCCTCGAGTCCATGTTCAAACTGAAGCACACTGGATTCTGAGCAGATGTGGGGAGACAAAGTGCTAAACCTCCAAGACATTATCTTTCACTTAGAGCATCCACGGGGTCTTATTACCAGCTGTATGATTTCCTGTCACTTTAAAACAGATGTCAAAAGCTATAATGATTATTGTTACATCCTGTTAATTACTATGTAGTACTGGGACCACTGCCATACAGTTGGACCACCAATCAAAGCTGTCAAATCAACTGAAATACACCCCGTTATATATCATCAAGTAACTTATTAACTACAACCTTAACAGAGAAATGAGTGGGTGAATGGCCGAATAATGTGAAAGCGCTTTGAGTGTGCTGTAAAAACATAGAAAGGCGCTATACAAGTATAAGACCATTTACCATTTACCACCTGTACATACATCAGCATGATAATATCTACCAGAAACAACAGAAATCACCGCTGGGCAAAATCTGATTTGTACTTAGTTTTATTTTGGCTTGTCCCATCCACCAACATGGAGAGGGTGGGGTTTATGACCTATACTGCAACCAGGGGGCCTTCACTTCTGTTAGCCTGTCCAGCACTTTTACAGTCAAGCAGTAAAGCAGTTGCACTGGACTGCAAAAATACCACTCAGGTAACTTGAAAACACTAAAACCAGCACTGGTGTCACTTCCAGCTGAAATGATTAGTCACTTATTCAATGAAAGCAGTTGGCAACTTTTTAAATAGCTTAATAATTAAATGACAGTTTCTGGTTCCAGCCTCTGACCTGTGAATATCTACTGATTTTCTCTGTTCTGAATCACAGTAAACTAAACATTGGTTGGTTAAGAAGTCGCCTTGACTTTGGTACGTTTTTCACTATTTGCTGCCTTCTCGTGTAGAGTGGGTTTAACCCAGAGGGGAACTGGGAGGTGACTCAGTGGTGGTCACTGCAGCTGCCAACACACGGAAATAAAACTCCCCATCCTGTCATTCGTTCACTCATCAGCAGGCCCAGTGCTGGCACTCACCGTTGTGCTGGAATTCGGGATGTCTCAGGGTGCCCTGGATACAGTGCTGCAGGGGGGACACCGGGGGGGGAGGAGCTACCAGGGGTGGAGCCGTTTGCTTGGTTGGTTTAGAAGCTGGTTTGTGGTCAGGGGAGGGGCCAGAGGATGATATGTGGGTGGGGTTATTATCTGGCCACACCCCCTGTCTTCTGATGGGGACACCAGCCTCAGCATCCGTCCTCACTGCCATGGAAACAGCTGACCCAGACCTCTGCAGAAACAAATAGCCGCCTCAGGAACATGATGTCATATCATACTGTGCAACAGCAGATTTCCCTCTGGTTTCAATACGTCATTGCATCGCTTCTCTCCTTTTATATGTTTTCAAAGACTGGAAGACTCCTCGTTTTCCAGGATGACGCAGGATGAGAACCCTGTAATATTACCTGTTGTTTGTATGAAGAGTCCGCTCTTCAGTTTTCCCACCAGTATAGCGCCACCTGGAGGACAGTCCGAGGTCAGTGGGATGAGCACTGTGTGTGTGTGTGTATGTGAGTGTGTATCGGTGTGTACCGGTGGCAGGTGTGGTGATGTCGTGGTGGGTTCGCTGAACTGGTCTCATCTTGAGGCTGGGAGTCGGCAGCCTTCCTTCTTCCCTATGAAAACACACACAACACACATATCAGTTTCTGAGAACTAGAGTGGTTGCAGATTTCAGAGTTATGAAGAGAAACATACTCATCTGTTGCTTCTTCTTCTTCCTCTTCTTCTTCCCAGGCCATACGCGCAGGAGGATTCGCAGGTGTCTGTGCCTTTGTGTGCATGTCACCGGCTGCGCTCTGGTTTGTATGGTGTACTTCTCCTGGACCCGCAACAGAAGATCTCTTACTGGAGTTACTGGAGCGGCTGTGAACAAAACCCACACACAGACATCAGCCCAGGAACGTTTCAGTGACGTTCTCCTCACCTGCCCTGGCTCTAACCTGGTCAAGTCCAGAGCCTCTACACAGGAAGTGCTGCGGCTGTCCTCATCCCGACCAAGGTCAAAGGTCAGGCGGGGGGTGGGGGGGTCAGAGGCCGAGTCCGTGTTGTCCATGGGCTCCCACAGAGCATTGTGTTCTGACTGCAGCTGGCTTAGGTGATCTCTGGAGAAGTTGGTTCCCCAGGCTCGACGGCGATACGACAAGGCCGCCTGCCTCAGCTCCTTCACCTGCACAGGACCAGACGTTACACACAGCCTGTGTCAGGGAAGTAGTTTCTTACAGTCACATAGGTTTCCTTGTTACAGCCTCAAATTTAGGCCAGTTTCCAAACCAAGTAACAGATTTACTTTTCAGACTTTGGATTAATATATCATTCTGTATTAGAAGAGATAGTTGTAATTCATTCTACAGGTTCTGATAAACTTTCTCAGTCGTTTCTACACTGTGGGAAACTTACAAATGCTATTCTGTTTTAAACTATACAATATCTCAACCATACAATAATAGTCAAAAAAGGGAAGAAGACAAAGAAAAACCAAGAGGATTAATTAGGTGTACACTGTACATGCATGAATGCACACAGATACAAGTAAAACATAAAAGCACAGACGACAAAATGACTAATTAGACAAACAGATAAAAAAAAAAAACTAACAATGATGTAAAATGTGTCCAAACTTATTCAAGTAACAGTTTAAAACTTTAAGATAATCAACACTGCACTGACAACCCCTCCACAGGGTGAATGGCCCCCACATCCACCCCTTTCATGCAAATGTTCATGTTTCCACAGAGAGTGAAAGTGTCCTACACCTCACGACAGACTACATGACTCTCTGGGCTGGTCACAAAAGATACACTGTAAAACCTCATTTCAAAAATATATGAATGAAATAAAATCTGTGGCAGTTTAGAAACACACAGGTAAAACACCAGACATATCCCATGATCCGCACTTTCACACCTGCAATTTTCCTGATTCAGATAGCATCTTAATGCCAGGCGTAACCAGGGTTTTATGGATGTGGATGAAACCAGCCCAAACTGCTGTGCTCGTAGTGGTTTTCATGGGAGCTGACATTTCTCTGTGCTCACACAGTATCTGTTTAATGTTTTTAAATCAATGTCATTTTAAATAATAATGTTTTTTAAATAAGTGTATGTCCCTAAGTGTCCACCCTGGACAGACTGGTGACCTGTCCAGGGTGGACTTGCCCCTCGCCCAGTGTCAGCTGGGACTGGCTTCAGCCCCCCAGGGACCCTAAAAGCGGTGTAGATAATGGATGGATGGATGTTTTGAGCAGTTGCTGTGGTGGAACAGAGGCCGGCCCAGGTGTCACAACACGGCTTCAGCTTTCTGTCGATTCCAGCTGATGTTAAATTACAGCACATCATGTGTGGCCTGATTTGCTTCAGATTTATCAGCTGATGACAAGGCAAATTCTGTGACCTCTTTTAATTAAACATAGGAAACTGAGTTAGCCACAGTAAAAGTGCTTTAAACTGCAGTAACTTTATATCTGCACATTCTCATGCACAAGTTTATTGAAGCAACGATGCTGCGCTCTCTTTTTTCCTATTATCTTTCCCATTTGCACATATTTTCTGTTTAGAATGTTTTTATTTTCTTGTTGCCTCCCAGAGCACACTGAGTACCTCTGTACTGGAGCCAAATTCCTTGTGTGATCACCTCTGAACAAGCAAACAAAATGAAACTGAGCCAAAGATCAATGAATCTGTGTGTGAAGTGCAAACGTCCGATCAACTTTCCACCCTGTGGTGAGCCTGGCCCGCAAGGAGTTTCAGATGACGTCACCAGCTGCCTGTTCAGAGGAAACCAAACCCTCACAAACTCCAAGTCGCAGTCAAACACCTAAAGTTGGGGTTTAGGTTCAGAGACAGCCTAAGTTTAACTTTGAAAACCAGGTCAGAGATAATCGGGATTAGGGCTGGGGTCAGGGGCAGGTTACTGTTGCATTTACCAGAATCTACAGTACCGGGTGCCACCGAGGGTGCAGCTTAGACACGTGAAGTTACCAGAGCACCGTCGACACAAGCACAACTTAATGATTTGACCTTAATTTTCAAGTACTTCTGATTCAGCTTGATTTGACAAAACAACCTGAGCAGGCAAATAAAACCAGCAGTGATTGCACAAACTTCTTTATCATTTCTCATAACTCTGCTTGAAATGTTCCACACAGCATTTCCTGTGTGTCTTTAATGTTTAATGTGTCAGTCATGGGTGACGCCCAGTGTGGTCTCTGCACATTTGTATCATCCTTTGCCATCGATGGATTATGAGATAGTGGCACGCAAGTCATTTTGTGCCAGTTCTACTTCCTGTTATCAGTTACCAACCACTTCGTTTTATAAATCTTTGGGGTGTTTAGTTTGAAATTCATTTTACTCTCCAGTTGATGAAACCTTGTTTGCAAGCAAATAAATATTCTACATGGCCAAAAGTGTATGGACAGTGAAACAAAGCAGCCATATGCGATAAACATGTGGTTGTAACACCATGCTTATTAATAAACTGCTGTCGTTTCAGCAGATGTCCACTTACATTTCGCCATTCAGTGTAAAAACATTCTTAAAATACTAAGAACAAAACTGTAGTAGAAACAGCTTTTTCCTGCACGTTGCATTTTGGCAATCCTTGTGAACGTCATGTTCAGATGACGTCAAATGTGCAGATTTCATGCAGAAAAGTAGAAAAGTGGTTCATCTCCCCCCTCCTCAACAACACTTTCCACAAGACTGGTGGGAACTTGCCTGTGTGTGTGACTAACATTGTGTAGTTTCCCTGAAATGAAGCTGTGTGGTTTAACTGCTGACACTCAGCACTCTGATTTTCCATCAGCAACACACACACACACACACACACACACACGTACACAGTTCAGTTAACAGGACGGTGCTGCACAAATCCCTGAGTACCACCTCAGTGAGACAGACCAGGGACAAACTGGTCAGTAAGATCAACTGTCCTATGGCATTAAACCTGCTGCTGAGTTTCCTTTTAGCTGATGAAAAACAAAAGTGCTTGAACCTTTAGTCAAAGTCATGTCTTACACAAACCAAAACACAGAAACCAACAACATCTCCTACAACTAATAAATAAAGATGGCGCAATATATTTGTTTTTAAGATGTTCGTCTTCGGTAGGAACCTGTGGGGCACAGACAAGGCAGAAAGGTCAGAAAGCATTTCTGTCACAGTGTCATGGACCCAGAAGTGAAGTCTGTCGTTGAAGATCATTTCAGCTGCATTAACTAAGATTTAGCACAAATTTATCTAGAAGTGTTGTCTCTCTGCTGTACACCCCCCCCCCCTCACTATTTTCAGGCCCTGTGTTTATTTCTTACCCTCTGTGGCCCCTGTTGTTAAAATCCACACCACACTTCTGTGAGGGCAAAAATTAGCTAGAGAGGCTTTAAAGCTGAAATTGAACAAATATAGTGACATTTTGAACAAGTAAGGAATTTTTCTTATTAATATAATTAGCTCAATTTACACCTGTGAATAGTGGCCAAATAGTAAAGGTAGTACAAGGAAATGTAGCCAATGCTACATGCTACGTGTTGTTCGGTTTTGGGTTTTTTTTTTCAAGTTTATTAAGTAGCATATCATCACTCACTGAAGTTTTAGTTACTGAAAAGCTTTAGGAGGCAACTGGTTCAGTCAAAACTACCAATCAGAACATGTGGGTGGGGCCACTGATCTGGCTACCAGCAGAGACATCGGGTTTTTCTAGTAGTGAGCAAGAAGTAACACGAGGAGACTGACAGTGGCCATCTTGGATTGTTTGATAATGTAAACATGGAACTATTTCCCATAATTACGTTCCCTACTACATGAACACACCATTAGCCCCACAATGTCTGGGGTTTGTGGGAAATGGGGTTCATTAAAGGCCACTATAAATCTGAAATACTTAATGAACCATATTAGACCACTAAACATCTGAAGGGAGCCACAGGCAACACCATGTTCCAAGGCTGGATTTGTGGCGATTAGTGCAGTCACAAATGCATTCAGGTTCTGACCTGAGAGGCGCTGGCATCCATGGCTCGACCTTCTTCAGGGATGCTGTAGAGGGGAGAACGAAAGCTGGACTCATACTCTGTCAATATCCTGTCAGACACACAGACAGTTTCATAAAGATTACTGCTTCATACAGCACATTAACACATGTGCACACACATAGAAACACACCTGTGTCCCCTCTGAACCTGAGCAGGAGGATGGGGTGACCTAGTGTTGTCTCTCTGAGGAGCATCCTGTTTGTGGCGGGGCTTCTTTTGGGACTCTTTCCTCCTCCTCTTGTGGGTCTGCAGATGAAAACAGCTCAGTCAGGACCTTTGTTGTGTAGAGGAAAAGGGGAACTCCACCAGTTTTACAAATCGAAATGTGCTTCCAGTGGTTGAGGAGTACAGCTGCATGTGTGAACACTGTAGTATAAACCCTTTTGTGTCTCCAGAGGGAGCTGGAAGTCTGATAAATGTCATCTCTGTTGCAGGACGTACGCTCCATTAGCTGCTACTAGCATTACTGTTGGGGGGGTCGAGTTGCATTGTGGGTAAGGTAGGCGCCAGGTCTGGACAAGAAAGAAGAACGTGTGATCTCTGGTTCTACTGCATCAACTTTGATCTTTTTTTTTTTTTATCTGCTAGTCATGAGTCCAGTGGTGTTACAGGATGTTAAGGCTGAGATGTCCTCTGCTAATGGCTGCACGAACCACCGAAGCACTGTGCTGTCAATCACAGCGGCGTATTATACGGGCTCACTTAGTGGAAACGTGGTTCAGTGCACGAGTCGGGCCAAGTGGCACAACATGAAAGACCTTATAAGTCACCAGACCTACATTACACAAGATGGCATTCATACAGAAACGTGTGTACAGTGCCTTGCGAAAGTATTCGGCCCCCTTGAACTTTGCGACCTTTTGCCACATTTCAGGCTTCAAACAAAGATATAAAACTGTAATTTTTTCTGAAGAATCAACAAGTGGGACACAATCATGAAGTGGAATGAAATTTATTGGATATTTCAAACATTTTTAACAAATAAAAAACTGAAAAATTGGGCGTGCAAAATTATTCAGCCCCCTTAAGTTAATACTTTGTAGTGCCACCTTTTGCTGCGATTACAGCTGTAAGTCGCTTGGGGTATGTCTCTATCAGTTTTGCACATCGAGAGACTGAAATTTTTGCCCATTCCTCCTTGCAAAACAGCTCGAGCTCAGTGAGGTTGGATGGAGAGCGTTTGTGAACAGCAGTTTTCAGTTCTTTCCACAGATTCTCGATTGGATTCAGGTCTGGACTTTGACTTGGCCATTCTAACACCTGGATATGTTTATTTGTGAACCATTCCATTGTAGATTTTGCTTTATGTTTTGGATCATTGTCTTGTTGGAAGACAAATCTCCGTCCCAGTCTCAGGTCTTTTGCAGACTCCATCAGGTTTCCTTCCAGAATGGTCCTGTATTTGGCTCCATCCATCTTCCCATCAATTTTAACTATCTTCCCTGTCCCTGCTGAAGAAAAGCAGGCCCAAATCATGATGCTGCCACCACCATGTTTGAGAGTGGGGATGGTGTGTTCAGGGTGATGAGCTGTGTTGCTTTTACGCCAAACATAACGTTTTGCATTGTTGCCAAAAAGTTCGATTTTGGTTTCATCTGACCAGAGCACCTTCTTCCACATGTTTGGTGTGTCTCCCAGGTGGCTTGTGGCAAACTTTAAACGACACTTTTTATGGATATCTTTAAGAAATGGCTTTCTTCTTGCCACTCTTCCATAAAGGCCAGATTTGTGCAGTATACGACTGATTGTTGTCCTATGGACAGAGTCTCCGACCTCAGCTGTAGATCTCTGCAGTTCATCCAGAGTGATCATGGGCCTCTTGGCTGCCTCTCTGATCAGTCTTCTCCTTGTATGAGCTGAAAGTTTAGAGGGCCGGCCAGGTCTTGGTAGCTTTGCAGTGGTCTGATACTCCTTCCATTTCAATATTATCGCTTGCCCGGTGCTCCTTGGGATGTTTAAAGCTTGGAAATTTTTTTGTATCCAAATCCGGCTTTAAACTTCTCCACAACAGTATCTCGGACCTTCCTGGTGTGTTCCTTGTTCTTCATGATGCTTTCTGCGCTTTAAACGGACCTCTGAGACTATCACAGTGCAGGTGCATTTATATGGAGACTTGATTCCACACAGGTGGATTCTATTTATCATCCTTTGTCATTTAGGTCAACATTGGATCATTCAGAGATCCTCACTGAACTTCTGGAGAGAGTTTGCTGCACTGAAAGTAAAGGGGCTGAATAATTTTGCACGCCCAATTTTTCAGTTTTTTATTTGTTAAAAAAGTTTGAAATATCCAATAAATTTCGTTCCACTTCATGATTGTGTCCCACTTGTTGTTGATTCTTCACAAAAAATTACAGTTTTATATCTTTATGTTTGAAGCCTGAAATGTGGTAAAAGGTCGCAAAGTTCAAGGGGGCCGAATACTTTCGCAAGGCACTGTAAATAGACATACAGTACCATGTATGTGTGGAACAGTGGGACTCGCTGATGTTCCAGATGTTTACAAAGCCGGGATCCAGAGGGTGGGACCAGACCCTGGAAGCTCCGCTGATATTCTGTTTCCATGGGAACGGGATTTTTCTTATAGGGAGGGACAGACCTGCTGCTGGAGAACATCACCTACAGGGAGGTGAAGGGGGTGGGGGTTCAAAGGTCAGAGGCAATAACTAATCAGTAAAACAAAAGAATGAATAAAAATGTCAGTTTAATCCACAGCAGCCTGCTTAGTGACTGTATCAATAGTTAAACAACCAGAGAACTCATCTGGCAGGTCACCTGTTACAGGTGAACCAGGACAAGCGGTCTAGCCCCATCTAGTGGCCACACAGGGGCGCTACAGGTCAGTACTGTTACTCCTACACAAGGTGTAGTATACAGCAGTGGTATGCACATTTTACATGTTTTTCACAAATCTACTGTAGTTAAAAGTCAGTATGGGTGTAGAGTGCAGCACTCTTTCACAGCACAGAGTAGTATCTTTTCCTACAGTCAGTATGGGTTCAGCATGTGTCAAAGCACATTTTATTTACACAGCCCAATATCACAAATTTCCCTAAAAGGGCTTTACAATCTGTATAGTGCACAACAGCCTCTGTGCTCAGACCCTGTGTTAGAATCTTACCTGTTCTGCAGTCAGTATGGGTGAGGCAGCAGCTGCAGGTTTCTTCCAGTTGAACTGTCTGTGGTACTCTGACCTCTGATCTCCTGACCTCAGCCCTGCCCGCCAGCGCAGTGCACGCTCGCCCTATAACACAAGGGGATGAAACTCACATTTTCTATTAAGGGGATTAAGGTTACGATGACTCATTAAAACAAGTATCAGGCCGCTCACTGCATTGGCCAAGGGCTGCTGCCCATCAGGTGCTGCAATCAAAGGGTGGCTAGGCTGTGACTGGCTGTCGGGCTGAGAGGGGTGGGGCTTCACTGATGAGACAAAAGTGAGTTAGAAGTTAGAAGAAGTAAGATGTAGAGAGGGTGCATTAAACTTATACATGCCTTTCCCAAAGCTAACACTGGCTATGTGTGGAGCTGGAGATGATGTTAAGTAATTTTACTTATTTAACCGTAGAATAAAAAACTGAAAAAAAACTATTTTTTCAAAATATCAGGTTACTAATTAGCTCAAAGTTTCATACTATATTTATTAAAAATCAAGCATTTAAAAAATGGAATTACATCGGGTTTAAGAAGAGTTTGAAGTCAGAGTAATGTCATGCATATTTACCAGATTTTCCTAAAGCTACTGGTTCTCCTGATGGTCCTGGGTCTCTAGCAGGTCGTGGCCCAGCTGGAGGTCCTGGGTCTGCAGCAGGTCGTGATTCTGCTGATGGTCCTGGGTCTCTAGCAAGTTGTGGCCCAGCTGGAGGTCTTGGGTCTGCAGCAGGTCGTGATTCTGCTGATGGTCCTGGGTCTCTAGCAGGTCGTGGCCCAGCTGGAGGTCCTGGGTCTGCAGCAGGTCGTGATTCTGCTGATGGTCCTGGGTCTCTAGCAGGTCGTGGCCTAGATGGAGATCCTTTGTCTGCAGCAGGTCTTGGTCCAGCTGCAGTTTCAGGCCCTGTCTGAAACCCAGGTTCAGCTCGAGACCCAGGAGGTGTTAGAGGCTTTGGTTCCAGGGAAGGCTTCTTCCTTTGGGATGAGCGGCTCCTGGAGGCTGCTAATAAAGAGGTGAGAAAGGGAGAATTAATTTAAAAATTCAGTTAACTTTCATAAGGTGCTAACTTCTAATTTTAGGCATACCGACATAAGCAGCTATACTCATAAGCATGTTACCATGTTAACATTACATTCTAAAAGCTAGCATGCTAACAGCTCACTGTAGTCTGACCAATACTGGATATTGTTAATATAAAAAGTATGTAGCAATATTTGGTAGTATTTGGATGTATTAGGTAGTAGTGCACTTTTTGGGAAGATTCTGTTTTCATTTATTACAGGTTGCAGTAACTTTTTTAAATGGCTTTACTGAGTCTTTCATTTTTAACAGACTTATAGAGACAATTTCCAGACTGTTCTGAACAGATGGACTCATTCAGGCTTCAACCTTAGTTTATATTGTTACATGGACAGAGTACCAGCAGGGGGCGCGTTTCTGTGAGCATCAGGAGTTAGTTCTGCCAGATGATCTGATGGACAGAGGAGAGAAGTACAGGACTGAGCCAGACCACCAGCACTGAGCCTCTTTCGACGCTGGAGACCTGGTTCGCTGCTGATACCTGAGAGGCACATGTCAAAAAACCAAGTGTTAATGTCAGACTTCTAGAATCATAATGATCAGACGCTGTTGCTTTTATCCTTTTTCATATTTCTAAATTGGGCATTTTTGGATCAAACATCAGCAGAGGTTTTCATTCTTTATTGGTATAATAAGAAACTGGGTGTCGGAGCTAGAAATTTTGATGATGTGCACACAGAATGCAGCAATTTTGACAATTTTCAGCATGTCAAATTTCCAGCATGTTGTGCATTTGTGAAACTGCAAAAACAAAGCCAAAAAAGAAACAAAAAAAGCTTAGTTTCATTTTTTTGATTCCTTTTGGGAGAAAGCAGAAAATTCTATAACGAACTTCACACTCGACTGTGTCTTTAGCATTTTCAGACTTTGTCCAGTCCACATCTGCCCAGAGTTCTTACCCATCTGGTCGGAGCGTAGGCCAGCCAGCGGGGCACTGCGCTGAGGAGACACACTTCTGGACCGGGGAGCCCCGTAGCTCTTCTGGTATTCACTCTGACACTAACACAAATACACAATCATATAAAGATAATGCTGCTTTAAATGTACTGCTGTTCTACGCCAGTCTGTATGTTTATATGAAGAAGAAGATTACCACTACCCTGCATTTTCTTTTTTAAACCTTTATTTTACCAGGAAAACCTCCGTGAGATTAAAAATCAATTTTACCTGAGTGTCCTGGTCAAGACAAACAACAACAACATGATAACTAATTTAAACACACTATTTTAAATTAATTCATATAAAACCCTCAGCTGACAACACTGTTATTCATCAGATACCAAATATAAAAGTATTAGTCACCACTGTAACACTGTGATGAGAATTTTCACTATTTACTGACATTTTACAGACATAACAAATTAACAAATTTACTCAAAAATCAACAAGGAACAGATTAATCGATGTTAAAAATAACTATTAGATGCAGGCTAGATATCATAAATGATGGCAAATGCTCTTTCGCACTTGTTAGGTCTTAATTTACTGCAGTCAAATTATTCTTACCGTCAGACAAAACAAGAATATAAACACTTGCTAACTAATATTGAAATAATATTAAAGTACTTACAATGTTAAGGTTAATACTTAGTAGTAGTAAGGTTACAGCTGTAATGAGGTCAGGTGCCTCTCAAAGAGGCAGTGTAGGATATTCAACAGGAAATCGATTATTTTGATTAGCTGGCTACACAGATTAAATCGCATCAATCCTGACTCCGCGATCTCATGCGGGGCTCTTGTATGTTAAAGCCAGAGCGGACAGGTTCAGCATCACCAAAACAGCCTATTGTTTACCAGTTCGTCGACATTGCCGTTGTCGAGCTAGCATGCTAGGCGTTGGCTAAACTGTTAATGCTGACACCTGTTGTTGTTGTTGTTGTTTACCTTGAAGCGGACAGTCATGGCGATCTCCCCGTTGACCAAACACCGAGAGATGTCACTCCTTTGTCATTACAATAAGACTTCAGTTTGTTAACTTGTTGGTTAATATAGTATAAACAGAGAGCAACAGCTCTGAGTGTAAGTCAGCTAAAGAACTGGACTGGCATGCTAACCAGCCGCTCCGCTTCTCCGAAGCTTCAGGCACAGGAACAAGCTGCCGCCGTTGCCATGGCAGCTCAGTGTCGTAAAAAAAGGAAGCTTTATTAACAAAAATGAATTTACAATCAAGGGTTTTGAACGAAAGTAAAACAAACAAACAAAAAAAAAGAAAGGACAATGATACAAAAATAATTAACTAATAAAACAATAAATAAAATATAAACAAATGCATATTCCATTTTAGTATAGTTACAATCAATTAAGATTCTTCTTAATCCACTCTGGTTTTAATTAATGGTTCAGGTGCTCTTTTGTTTGTTTTTGTTTATAAAATATTTAATAAAAAAATGTATGAATCATGATGATAGTCCAGGCCCGTGTTTCTTCATGTAGATTTATTAAAGGACTGTTGGAGTGTTGACTGTAGTTGTTGTACATAAATCACTGAAGTACAGATGTATGGTGGCTCTGTTGCTCCAAATAATTCACTCACAGGATATCATGTTAACTTGTGGGACATATTCAGGACAAGTGAACTATTAATTATCTAAAATATGTATGAATAATATTGACATTATTTCTTTACAAAATAGACTCTGTACATGTTTAAGTATTTCAGCATAGAGCTGCTGAGGTCTTTGCCAATATGACCTGGAAAGTGATGAGAGAATGTGCACATCCTTTACACAAGCTCCAGCACTGAAACTCCTTGTTCACACTGCTTCTCTGCAGAACTGGCTATGCACTGTAGTTCAGCGCTGAGCCTTGGATAGGCAGAATGATGAACGTGTGCTGACTCTGACTTAAAGTGGCTCCAGCAGGAGCAGCAGTTGGTCATTCTGGCTGCTGGTGGATCCACACCTCTCCACGTGTTGGACCCAGGTGCAACCCACGCTGCCTGAACTGCAGCAGCAGGGCTGGGAGAATGATGTTGTCTTTGCAGCACATTTTCAAATTCTGGAACAACTCTTTGGATCAGCAGATCAACATGCAGAACGTTACAGATTTCATCTTGAGATTCAAAACCACGTTTCGGTAACACTCAGACCATGAATGGCACGACTGGCTATGGTGATGAGGGCTGTTTTCAGCTCGTTCGCTATGTTCTCATTGCATTTGTTCTGTTTCGGAAAGAATGTGTCCACTATTGTTTTTATAACGTTTCTCCTAATTTATCTTTTTAAAATGTTTTAAATACAATTTTTTTTATCATCTTAATGTCACATTTACAAAAGCAAATGTTATAACAGAAAACCTTGATTAAAAATTTCATAAATAAAATGCAACAATATCTCTTCAGCACTCCACAAACCCAGAGGCTTTAAGGACTCCTATATTTAAATTATATAACTACAAGAACTGCTAAACCTCTTAGTCTTTTTAATGTCCTCCTCCACCCCTGCCATATATCTGTTATTGTTTGTTACAGTGGTTTACAACAAAACTATTGTTTAAAAGTACAGGTGCGTCATCTTTTAGTCTGGGATCCAGCTTTCTAATAACACATCCATGAGTCAAACAAGGTGGGGGCACAGTACCTAACCTAAGATATTGTTGTACACTATACATAGTGTGCAAAAGCTCTTTTACTTTCAGTTACAGTTAGTTACTTTCAACTGTGTGCTGCAGATTTCTCTGAGTGTCTGATGTGCTGATGTCGATCAGCAGGCCTTCCCCTTAGCACCAGCCCTAACTTTAAAGCCAAACCCAAATTACTAAACTCTTGCACCCCCCCACGGACTCTTTGGCTACACTTCTTGAAACAAGTACCATTGTGCAGACTGCAGACATTAACACCTGTTTGACAAACTGCATATCAATGCAAAAAAAACAAAACACTGTAAAATATCAATACTGGTAAGTATAGAGAGATAAGCCTCGTATATAGAACTGAGATCCTGAAGAGTCCATAAAGATTCAGAAACAAAGCTCTTACATAAGTGCCTTTGGCTTTAGTTTGGTAACACCTAGATAAACCAGAATGACCCCACACTGCAGTTTGCTGTTACAAAATTGCACCACTTTTATTTATTTAAGGCTTTTTAGTTTTTACTTTACATTTGGCTTCACCCTCCCTTCCCCCTCCCCCACCTCCCACTGCTGCTGTGGGTTTCTGTACTGGAATAAACCAGTTCAGACGCTTTTATACCAGCGTTAAATTCCCAACAGCTGAACTGTGATGATTCAGCAGAATGGAAATGGGATTTTATTCTGATACGTGACCGTCTGAACTGGTTTCTTTTACATTTCACTGGTCATCATACCATACAGAGAAAAAGCAGATTTATTTCAGTAATGTAAAATAATTTCTTCTTGCTGTGAATGAATCATTCCAGTCTGCAATTGTCTGCAGCTGCAATCGTCACTTCAATGCCACCAACGAATGCAGCTGCAGTCTCTGTGACCCTGGATGCCAGAAAGGTCTGATTGCAGCCGTGGCCAGGTAGCGATCTGACTGACTGTTCTCTGTGCGAGTACAGGTGAGATAAACTATCCTATACTTTTAACAGCTACTTGAAAATGTACTTAAACAAGCCTCACAAAGGTGAAGTTTAGGCTTTATCTGAAGCATTTTCACACAGCTAGACTTTTCAGTAGGAATATATTCTATACTGTATTTTACAGTAATTCCACCAACAGTGGAATGAACAGCAACGCCCCACCATGGCCGCCAATAGACTTTTCTCTTGAAAGCTTCTGCTCGGCATGCAAACTGTCGCAGCACCTGCTAGAGGTCAGACTGAGTACTGACAGAAACATCAACATGCTACATGACTGAACGTACTGGGGGAGAACCAGGATACTGGCAACAGTATTACACTGTACACAGTACTCCTGGTAGTACAACACTGTGCACAGCAGTACACACAGAGGTCGCTGGTCCAACATACTGTAAGATGTCCACTCTCACATTTAAAACTGAATTCAGATTATCCAAAGGCTTTCATGGCTGCTGCCTTACAGGCCACACCCCCATATGAAGGGATGGAGCTTCCACTTCAAGCCCACCCCACCCCAGTCTGAACCTAAGCCTTACTACAGTTAGAGAGAAACACTGAGATTTTAGGGTAACCTTTATGTTTAACTGATGAGAACATTAACACAAGAACATCTATGTGTCCATAGTATCTACTGGGTTTGAGCTAAAATAGGTTTCTATCCAAATGAGGCAGATTTTCATCTCTACTGAAGTCACAGGCTTCAGGTACATCACAATTTAATTTTGTTTCCACTCCATATTTTTGGTGACAAACTGGAAACACATAAAAAAAATGTTTCATGTGCAAATTGGAAATGCACATAATCATAGGTGGACAGAAACACACCTTACCACTCAACCCAGTCAGTGTTAGCATGAAATACTACATCTGATGATCATGCATGGATACGGAGGACCACCTCTAACATCTTTCTGGTCATGTTTGGATCCCCATACCAGAATAGTTAATAATGTATTTCCATCAGTTTAAGGAAGCAGTGACAAACAGGACCTTTAACCAATAAGTCAGTGTTTCACTCTCAGATGTGCTGTGTTAATAATATTAATAATCAGGTAATTTCATGGTTAATAATACAGAAACAACACTTGCTGGCTGCTCTGCTCAGTAGATATAACACCCCACCCCTTGGGCTAAAATGGTCATCACAGAAACTGACCTGGTTCATTGTTGTTATGCAGCTCACAAGCATACAAAGTCACACACTAGCAAAGACACAGACAGAGCTAAAGTACTGGACCAGTGTGAGTCTGCTGTCTAAAGGCAACACGTCTGCCCTGAGCAGCAGATCTTAAGTCAGCTCACCGTGATGTTAACGGGTTAACCCACAGTTGCTTTGTTTCTCTGGGAGTGTAGCATTGTCAGCATCCCCTTATATATCCAAAAGATTTAAAAGTATTGTTGGCTTAATGAGTTAATCACTGATAACAGCACCCATTACTGTACTTTCTTCACTAATACACTAAGATTTTTCCTATAGTGCCCAGAATACTGAAGTTTCATTGCTGATACTTGAATCTCAACACTCAAGTAAGGTATTAGCATTGTTATAGTTTCCCAACAATAATCTTAATGCAGCCTTCCAGATAGTGGCTGGCAAACCTTTTTTTTTTTTTTTTGAATATGCTAACAATGCTAACTCTTGACAAACAAGTACAAAAGCATTGTTAGCTAATCCATTCTGGTAGCTGAACAAGGTAGCCCAAAGTTATAAAGACACTTTAATTTTTTTAAAAATATGCTATCACAGAAAACGCCCAAGAAATAGCATGTGTGTGCATCTCAGAATATTGCAGACTCACACTTACAGCAGTCAGATAACTTAGACTAGCTCAAAGCTACCAGCACGGTGAGCTGACCCCACAACCTGCTGCACCCCCACCCCAAAACAAAAACATTAAATGACTTTTAAATCTTTTCACACAGAATCATAATAATAACCACTGCAATAATAATAATAATCACTATATGGATCCACAGGTTCAACCAGAGCCATGCACACAGAGTCAGCCACGTTAGCCACTGCATCACCATGGTAACTGTGGCGGCAACATGGCTGACGGTGAAGTGGTCAAGCTGGCTCGGGACTGCAGGAAAATAAAGAAAAGGAAATGAAAAGAAAGGAAATGAAAAACTTCTAAAACTAAAAAGGAAGAAGCCACTCCCCACCACAAAATGGCCAAACAGAGAGCATGATGGGAACCGTGGTTTAAATTTGGGTACATCCCCATTACCGCAATAGAAGAATCGTCATCATCATCAGCACTACCAGTGCAGTCTTTTGATGTTTGGTTTAAATGTTTCCAAGGCAACAGTCTCTGTTAGACAGCATGGTAGGGGGATGGGAGATGTGGTTGTCAAGGTAACAGAGGTCACAGGTGGCTGATGTTGATGATGACATGGCTGTGTTAAAGGGGCGTGGCCAGCTGGAAGATGTCCTGTGATCGGTTGGTTGGTTGGTTGTTGGTCAGGTGAGCAGAAAACTGGAGAGACAGAATGAGAGTGTGTAAATAAAGTATGTACAAATCAAATGTGTGTATAGTAACGTGTGTACACCGGAGGGTTACCTGTCATTAGAGAAGCTGACAGGTGGACTTTTTGCGAGCTTTCCCTGGAACTGGACTCTTCCTGTTAATCTGTCGCACAAGGTCGTAGAAGATCTGTGCACAAATGAAAGATTAATTTTTGCGCAGTACCTAAAATATAGTCACAAACGATCTTAAAGGATGGAGCGGCAAATTTTTTATGCTGCTTTTATTTTCCACAAACCCCATCCATTTGGTAGGACCTAAGAATGACCTGTGTAACAGAGTGTCTGTCTGTTGTGTGGTCACCTCATTGACGTTGATCTTGCTCTTGGCCGAGGTCTCCAGGAAGGCGCAGGAGTTCCACTGGCGGGCGAGGCCGATGCCCGACTCTTTGGCCACCACACGCTCCACCTCCAAGTCACACTTGTTTCCCACCAAGATCATGGGAACCTGTAGCACCATGCCGAACATTCACACTCGTGCTTTCAAACACAACAAAGCTACTGATGTTATGCTCTGAGCTGCAGCTCAACACAGCGGGAACCTTTCAAAGCAAAAGTATCATGGCCAGTATACAAGTTGACCACCACCTTCACTGACACTTCATCAGGAATGTGTGGTGCTGCTTTGAGTTCAGGACTTGTTCGTCAATTTGCAACAGCATTTCAAAGCAGAGCCATACACTCCGTGTAAGAGCTACAGTGGTCCGGTGATGACTAGTTCAGTCATCTGACGGGAAGTTAATCAATGACTATTTTGATAATTAATTAAGTATTTCCATTTTTTTCAGCACATGCACTGATTTGGATCCATACATGTGTGAATTTGATTCTTTTCTTGGTCATATGTGGCCGCAAACTAAATGATTCTGGGAGTTGAACAGTCTTCAGTTTGAATGCATCATCTTCAACTCAAGGAAATTTGCTCTTTGTTAAGCTGAGAAAAACTTGCTGACTGTTTTCTCATACTCGCGTACCAGTCGAAGGGTGTCATTCCCAAAATGAGTAGCAACATGTCTGTGCAGATTCTCAGTCATCCAGGTCATAGTAAGCTCACAGAACTGATGAAGCCTCTTGGATGAGAGGTGAAGAAATCTAGAAATCTAGTACAGTTGATTTTTTCTAAGTTTTTTTCATCTGAATAAAGACTAAAGTCCTGTAGGAAATCCTCCTTCAGAGACACATTAGTTTGGCCATGTAAGGTGTGTGTGTGTGATGTGTGTATGTCATACGTCCTCGGTGTCCTTCACTCTGAGGATCTGCTCTCTGAGGTCCTGGAGGTCGTTGAAGGTCGACTGAGCGGTGATGGAGTAAACCAGAGCAAAGCCCTGACCGTTCTTCATGTACAGGTCTCTCATTGCCGTGAACTGCTCCTGCGGGCATAACAGAGGTGGACAGGCCATCAGGAGACAGAGTCAAACACGTTATACGTCCGAAATTATGTGGACACCACCACAGTGAAGCTCTCTTTAGTCTTCTTACGTGTGAAAATATTTTACAACCCCCACTCCAGGAAAGAAAGAGTCTAGGAGTGTGATGTAAAAATTCTACATGCAACATTAGACAGTGACTCATTCCTTTTAACTGATATTAACTTGTCTGTCTGCAGGAGGATTTCTGACCATTCTTCTGCCATCATCTGATAATGGGAAAGCACTAAAACTAGAACTGACCACGCTGACACTTTGGACCCTGAAGTCCTGTATTCAGCAATACTTGGTCAGCTGAAAATGTCACCTAGCAGGGCAAGCTGTTGTTTTTATCAGAAACTTTGTGGAGCGCAGAGAGTCTTTACCGTCCTCTCAAAAAGCAGATGAGGACTGTTCCTCTGGAAACCACTGAACCTAACTATGGCTCAGCAGCTGGCAGTGGCCGCACATAGAGATTCCAGGTTTTTTTTTTTTTTTCATATTTCCTGATTTTGGCTTTTTTTTCCTTTTTGATTCTTTCTCCTGTGGATATTTTTTGTGTCAGAATTTCAGGATTTCATGAGTTCTGTTTCTGTTTCAGGAGTAAATTCAAGTGACCAGTAGGCGGTGCCAGTGCACACTCATTCAAAAAACCTTTAGATTCTTCTTCTCCTATTAATCTCAAACACTAACTGTTCCAGACTTGGGACAGTGAGACAGAGAGAAAGGCAAACAGGTCTTACTGTTCCTGCTGTGTCCAGGATCTCCAACATGCACTGCTGTCCATCGACCTCGACTTGCTTGAGAAAGAGACACAGAGTGAGTCGTCACTCCTTCATTCATCATTAACAATCCGTTTACCAGGATTATGATCAGTTGTGATCCTCTCACTGATGATTTACACTTTTCATCACACCCTCTGACTTTATATTTTTAAACATAAGTATTTTTATGTTTATCGTGACTAACTTTTCTCCTATGTTTACTACTGCTGCTCCTCCCTCTCCTTCCCATCTTTGTCCCTCTCACTTTTCCTGTCCTCCTCTCTCTTCACCTTCACCTCCATATTTACCTTCCAATCATGTGATACCACAACTAGCAGCATTCAGACAACATCCACTCTGTCCCATCAACCCCTGGGACAGTATATTTGTCGTCTCACATCACTTCCCAGGGTGAGACAGACAGGTTGAGGCTGTCTTACCTTCCTATAGGAGTCCTCTATCGTTGGGTCGTATTTTTCCACAAAGATTCCCTGAACGAACTGGACAGTCTGCACACAGAGAGACAGACAGGCAGTGAGGTAAACCGAACTAGGGCAGTGGTGTTAATGGAGCTCTGTTCTGTTCTCCATTGGAAGTCATTCGATTGGAATGAATGTGACACCCTGACACATCTCCATTATATCATCTAGAGCAAAGCACTTCATTGTGGTGAGACTCACACCAGTGTTTGTGTGTCAGCCTGAAGGAGATGATTCACAGACAAACAGACAGACTGACAGCAGTTTGCATTTTCAGAGGAAGACTGAGGGAAACGCTCCAATGCTGCTAAAAAATAAAACATAAATCTGATGAATGACCTTCACGCTTGTCCTTTCCAACACAACAGTGTAAGAGGATGAGAATTTCTCACCAAAGGACGGGACAACAAGCAGGTGTACACGCTCCAAAATGTAGATAAATACAACTAAACTTACAAAAAACTGTGACAGTTTTGTTTCTTTGTAGTTGTTCCTGAAAAGCCAGCATCACTAAAATGGTGCAGTAGTACACAAAAGAAAGGAAAAGCTGTGTTAAGTAAAGAAATACACCTGGATCTTGTCATGTCTGTCCAACTTTTCTGACGTGATCCTTCCAAATAAATATACATAATTGCGTATTTTAGTTTTTGTCAACTGAAAAAGAAGGAATGCGTTAGTTGGTGTGTCATGTGTGTCAATACTCTCTGCCCAAGGCTCTCAGCTCCAGCCCACTGGTTCCTACTAAATCTTTAAAAAGAGCTCACAGATACAGTATGTCAGTTCATTAAAAAGGACTCAGTCATTTCCTCACACAGCTGCTGTGCAGTTTTGTCACACAAACACACAGGAGACCACTCACTGGGGACTATTTTCAGTGGCGGATGAGTCGGTTCAAATGCAAACATCTATTAAAATGTTTTTTTCAGTTCTAGTTAGGAGTTTCTAGTTTCCAACACATCAGGATGAATTTTGGGAAGATGTGTATCAAACATAGCAGTCAAATGAACTATGTACTGTATGGTTTGTATATCTGTATGTCCCCACTGCAACTGTGTGGTCACCGGTGGCGTTAATGGTTTCTGCACACAGTGGAGCTCTGTGGCTTTTTGTGGGATTTACTGATGATTAGAAAACAAGAGAGTGATACCAGACTTCTCCTCTAACACAAACAGCTGAGTAAAGGCAGTGGAGTGGCGTTAGTAACTTACCAGAGCTGACTTGCCGACTCCCCCTGATCCTAAAACAACCAGTTTGTATTCACGCATCCTGACCGTCTGTCTGCTGGGCAAGAGACATCAACAGACAAAGAGAAAGAGGAGTTACCAGGTTATTGTTGCTAAGTGGACAAATTACAGCCCCAAACCACTGTTGTGAGGGCATGTTGTCCAGTCCACACCCCTTCACAGGGCTGTTCACACCTGGTGTTAGGGTTCAGCTACGTGTTGGGGCTGGACATCTAGTTGTGATGGTTAAGGTTAGGGAACGCATCATGTCAGTGAGTGTCCTCACAGCTATATTAAGACCAACAAGTGTTTGTTATCTCTGTCATGTTGCTTCTTAGTGCGGCAATGGCATGTACACACACACACACACACACACACACACAGGGGAGCATAGCAACAGTAACCAAGACGGATTCCACAATTGTGACATAACCACCAGCTGTGTGATCACATGACCTCTCTGTTTTCATCGACTCACCCAGATGCCTGCTGGGTGATTATTACCTCCCATTAAGAGGGAGGAAATCTGTATGTGTGGTTATGCAGGTGTGGGGACCAAACACTAACATCTTACCCAACCCTAACCCTCTGACTGCCATCTTCTGTCTGTTATTTACCCAGAATCCCCAGTTTCTATCAAACAGAGCTATTCAGCACAGACAGCAACATTCAGCTTGTGTAAACTGTTTCAGAGAGGTGTTTTCTGTACGCCTCATTTATATCAGTGAGGCTAAACAGAACAGAAACCCCTGTCTATATAGTGCAGGACAGTGCTCCAGCCTTAGACTCCTATCTGCACAAGTCACACAGGATATTTTGTTGCTTGGCTTTGTCATTTCTTTCATTAAGCTGCACAAGTAGGATGAGACATCTAGTTGTTTAAATCTATGGCAATCACCAACACCCCAGCAGACATCTGTTAGCCTCTTAGCAGTCGCACTGTAACACCTTAGTAACCACCTGTTGACACCTCAGCCCACATGACACACTGTTCAAAACTTGTCATTTCAGTCTAGAGGGTCTAGCTAAAGTCAAAACAAACTGACACCATAAACCATAAAGTGTACGAACTGCAGCCTTCAGTCTGAAGCTAGCATTAGCTGGCTAACAATAAACGTGTCAGTCCAGTAGCACCCTCTGGTTACTGATGTGACACAAAGCTCCAGTTCCTCCCAAATTAAAATCATATTAATTCAACACAAAGGTAAAATCCTGACCATGCTAGGTGGCTAATGCTACCAAAACAAACAGGTTAGCTTTAGATGCTAACACATCCAGAAGGAAGAACACCACATCTGAATCCAGTCTGAGTCCTCTGGCTGCTTTTAACCCTCTCCATGTCAACCAGCCAAACTCATGTTAACCCTGGTTGTTGCTCTTTCTTTGTCCCACTCTCTCTGTGCAAAAGACGCCACCTCTTCACTCTGTAGCCGCTGGTTCAGACTTTTAGCTGCCCAGAGCTCCTCCATGGCTGTTTGACATGACTACTGGCTGGAAAAATGTCCACGTCCTGACGCACTGTCACAGTTATCAGACAGTGTTTCACCCACTGATGTTTTCAGTGACTTTTCCTAGTAACAAGGAAAATATAAAGAAGGATGAATCGAATTATTATCTACCCAAAGGTAACTTTACACAACCATTCATCTATGGGTGCAAAACCATACATTTCTATTGAATCATTGGTGTATTTCTACCTGTTTTTGAGTTCATAATGTATCAATAATCCTGGTGCTAAACATGCATGAAGTTAACCCTGCTGTGAGAGGTGGATTTCAGTGCCTGAAGGTCTGAAAGGAGCCTGTCTCAATATGCTTGATGCAACAAGTCCAGGCGAGTTCAGGGACCCAATCAGACTGAAGCAACAGCGAATGAGGCCCACAAGGGGAAGGTGAATCTGCTGAATGAACCGAATGTCGGTAACTTCTGAAATGTTTCTGTTGCTTCTACACTGGTCTCCAGAAACAGTGCAAGAGCCTCTTTCTCTGCACCTTTTCATGACCCCTTCTGTGTGTGCTCATGGATGTGGACTTCCTCCTCACATCCAATGATGCAACGCCTTGATTAAACCTATGCAATCATGCCACAAACATGATTGCACAAAAAAGGTTTACAGGAGCAAAGTAAGGGCTCAGCAATTTATCACAGTTTTAGCAAAAGTGACATTTAAAAAAGTGCAAAGTTTAAAATATAATGAGCCTCTAACTTAACAAGCTGTAGCAGGTTAAACTGTGGATGTCAGGGGATTTAACATTGTCAGCAGCAAGTTTGCTCCACTGTAGATTTGATGTTAATTCTGCGAGTTTGAGCACCTAAACAAATCTCCTGACTGCAGTCTGGTGAAAAAACTCCCTGCAGACTGCGCCGTCTCATGCTCAGCCGAACAAGGAAAGAGAAGCTGTGGTCAGTGTTATCCGACAGAAATGTAAATGTGTGTAAATAAGTGATAGCTGAAACTAGCTGGACTGAAACTAGCAGGACTGAAACTAACAATCTTTGTCACTGTTGATTCTTCTGCTAATTATCTTTCACAGTTTTGTCGATATAACATCAGAAAACAGTAACAAAATCCTCACCATGCCTTCCTGGAGCCATCAGATGCGTTTTGTTTTGTAATAAAATGTGAGATGATGGACATCAGTAAATTCTCATTTCTGACAAACTGGAAGCAACAAATGTTTGACATTTTTGACTTGAACAACTCATTGATTAACATTATTTTTTGGTTTTGAGGCTTTTTGGATGTCACGCTTCACAATATCAGAAATATGAAAGCAACTAAATACATGTGATCAAATGCTATACCTAAGAACAAACTGGTGGTACTTGTATCTTATTATTTCAACGTTTTACTTCAACTACACTAAAATTGCCAACAACTTTGATAATTACTTTTCATGCAAAGATCTGAAACACTTTACAATTTTGGTTGCTCAAATCTTTTCTGCTTTTGGCCAGCATATGTGGCTGTAAAATAAACACTGAGGGGTTTTGGACTGTACCGTCATCATGATGACCTGTGGGAAGCACTATCTTTGATATTTCATTGACTAAATAACTAGTCAATGAACTGGAAATAATATTTGGCAGATAAAGGGATCACTAACAAAATGTGGCAGCCCTAGTGAGCATTTCTCACTATTTTCTGAGTATTTACAAATAAAACAATGAAATGATTAATTAAGTCATCATTACAAAATAGTTAGCACTCCAACATGTTACTTAAACATTAATACATGAGTAATAATAATCTAATGATATGATGGTGTATCAGTTACATGGGACCACTGAAGTACATTTTTCTTATTATACTAACATAGATTTAATTATCATATGCAACACAAGGCTTTTGCTTGTAGCAGAGTATTCATACAGTGTGCTATAGTATCAGCACTTTTACTTGGATCGAAGGCAGGATGATGTTAATCTACTAAAGTAAAGATGTTGAGGAGAAAGATGGACACAGATCCCTGAGTCAACCACAAATAGGTGGGGCCTGTCACTATTCAGTGTGTGTGTGTGTGTGTGTGTGTGTGTGTGTGTGTTACTGATTGTACAACAGCAGAGGAATAAAACCACGCCTTGAGACAGACAGACAGACAGGTCCCTCCAAACTCCTGAACTCCGCTGTCTGTAACTAGTTACTTCCTCTCTTTTTTTCTCCAGCAGCGCAGCGGGAGTTCCACAGCTTGGTGGACGCCTCAGAACGCTCCCTACCCGGCTAGCTATAGCAGCAGGCCCCGCTGCCTGGAAGACCGGGGACATGCTGAGGGCTGGAACGCTCTACCGACGCACAGACAGCCGCCATTATGTTACTCGGCTGTGTGTCTATCTGTCTCCTTATTATTATTATTATTATTGTTATTATTATTAACAGAGCTCCTGTCTGTCTGCCGTTTTGTCAGTCCGTCTGTCCACCGTTAGGTCGCTTCCGCAAACCTAACGTTAGCCCACCTCGGCACCGGCCTGTCTGCCTCCGCTTGTATATCACGGTCTATCCTGGTCCAGCCCGGGTTAATCTACATTTACATGATGGAGGGAAGATTAAAAAGAAAAAGCAGGAAAAAAGAGAGAAGACAGAAAGGAAGCGGTACTCACCGTCATCCACCCGTCCGCTCCGCTGCTCACTCTCTCGCTCTCTCCCACTCTGTGTGAATGTCGCTCTATCACAGCCGCTCCCTCCTGCCGCCACCTCTCTGACGTCAAGCTGGACGCGGCGAACAGTAACGTGTCCTGTAATTTCCTTCAAAATAAAAGCCCCACAAGAAGAACTCCCGTTTGTTTTATGTTGAATATAAAATAAAACAGTCTGCTTAAATGTATCAGTTAACAGAGGACGTGATCTCACAGTGGTAAAAGCACTCCATTTTTTTACTTAAGTAAAAATGTTCTAAAATAAAGGCCTTACAGCTTTTGAATAACACATTTATAATGAAATTTAAAGTATTTGTGGTGCATTTATACAAGACACTTTGTATAAGAGGCTTACAGAAGTGGGGACAGGACTCTGTACAGCCAGGCAAGGAACACACTAACAAGGGAAATCAGAGCAGGAAAGAGGAGCTACTCTGAAAAACTGAAAGTGTTTCAGCCAACGACCCCTCGTCTGTGTGGGGGAGCCTGAAAACCATCACTGGCTATAGGAAACCATCCCCCCCTGCTGTGGAGGACCATCAACTAGCAGATGACCTGAATGTGTTCTACTGCAGGTTTGACAATCAACACTCCCCCCTCACCCTCCCCACCTCAGACCCAGCAGCTGCCCCCCGACAATCACCACCGAAAGTGTGTGCTGATCAGCTGTCCCCCATCTTCACACTCATCTTCAACAGGTCACTGGAGCTGTGTGAAGTCCCCTCCTGCTTCAAACGCTCCACCATCATTCCAGTCCCCAAGAAATTCCCGATCAGTGGGCTTGAATGACTGCAGCTCTGTCGCCCTGACATCTGTAGCTATGACTGTTAGAGCCACTGGACCCCCTGCACTTTTACTACCAGGCAAACAGGTCAGTGGATGATGCAGTCAACATGGCACTGCATTACATACTGCAACACCTCGACTCCCCAGGGACGTATGCACGGGCCCTCTTTGTGGACTTCAGCTCAGCATTTAACACCATCATCTTGGACACCCTCCACTCCAAATGGACCCAGCTCACTGTGCCTGCCCCCACCTGTCAGTGGATTACTAGCTTTCTGACAGACAGGAAGCAGCTGGTGAGGCTGGGGAAAACCACATCCAGCACCCGGACAATAAGCACAGGCGCCCCCCCAGGGATGTGTGCTCTTGGCAGAACTATTTTCACTCTACACCAACGAATGCATCGTGAAAGATCCCTCTGTCAAGCCGCTAAAGTTTGCTGATGAATGGTCATTGGTCTCATCCAAGATGGTGACGAATCAGCCTACAGCGGAAAGTTGAGCAGCTGGTCCTGTGGTGTAGCCACACCAATCTGAAGCTGAACACGCTCAAAACGGTGGAGATGACAGTGGACTTCAGGAAGAACCCTCCCACCTCACCCCCCTCGTCATACTTGGACAATCTGTTTGAACTCCTCCCCTCTGGACGGCGTTACAGGTCACTGTGCACTAAGACAACCAGGCACAGGGACAGTTTCTTCCCCCAGGCTGTCACTGTGATGAACATTTAACCCACGACAGTATGATTGGACAATAACTCTCAGTGCAATACCTGTAAATATACCTCATACAGATTATACAGATTCATACAGGTCTCTAGTCTTAAGTACTCTATTTTTATCCCTATTTATCCTATTTCACAATGAGCATTCCTTGTCTGTCTGCATTGTTTACTGCCTGTTTATACTGTTTATTTTGCATTGTTTGCCCTGTTTGTTGCTTGTTAATACTGCTTATTTGGTTATATTACACAGTCTTATGCTGGTTTACTGTTTACTTGCCCCTTGCATGGGGATATGTACATGCACATTGAGAGCTGATGTACCAGAGTCAAATTCCTCGTGTGCCCGACCCACCTGGACAATAAAGATGATTCTGACACTAAGGATAAAAGTTTTACAAAAAATAACAGCCTTCATAAAGTTAGTATGTTACATGATTTTAAAAAATTGGAAGGGACCTTAAACAAATAAACCGTAAAAGGTGAAGTTTAAAAACAGGCTTTCAGGAATTTTAGAATCGTTAGGCTCCCAAAAATAGATTTGTCATATTACGTTTCAATGTAGCCTGTCATCAATGCGAGGTTTTTATTTTGAAGGCAGTCTACACCTACCTTCCGGTTCCGCTCCTACTTCGTCATACTTTGGATTAACTGCTCTTTTTGTTTAATGACGTTCGTGCTTGGCTCTCAGCTGCTTCCCGCTTCCTGAAGAGTAGAAACATTAGATTTTTTTCTACTTACATTTTTATTAAGATAGAATAGAATGACGATAACACCACTTCCGCTGCTTTTAATTGCATGCAGCCCTGAGACTAGAAAGGAGTCTGCCCGGCCGCTATGCTCAACGGCTCCACATCATAGAAAATGAATGTAACATTTCATCTTATTTTACTTGTCACCTAGTTACATTGATCATGTGACAAGTTACCATACCAAGTTTTTTTACACCTTCACATCACTGTTCATTAAGTTGAACTTTGCCCACACCACTACAAGATATCCCATCATGCCTCACATGCAGGGATGCGCTACAAGCACAGGCCCAAGGGCCCACCAATCAGTGGGTGCCTGGCCAAAGCCTGTGTGGCATTAAGTTTTCATGGTGGTCACAGAGCTAATGATGTCATGTGATGTCATGGGTGTTTTCCTCTTCTACTGGTTGTTAATGAAGACCTGGTGTTGGTTCTGCTGGAGGGCAAAGGTCACCAAAGCCAAACATTTAAAATACAAAACGTGAGGATGTGTGTTACTGCAGAGTCAGAGAACAGCAGAGCATGTCAAAGAATGTCAACAGGAACAAGACTATGCACACACACAAGTGCAGTGTTTACTACAGTCAGTGTTGTGAAGCCACACCCAAACAGGAAGGAGTCATCCAGAAGAGTCACCCCCCACCCAACCTACTTCCTTCCTTGTTATATTTATATACAGTATATAAAGTATGTGTGTGTACTTCAGTGTACTCTTAGTTTTCATAAGTAGAAATACACATACTGCACGAACATTTCTGAAAGTAATTTAGATCAGAAGTCCTCTGTCTTTTGTGACATCTCAAATCTGGTTCACATGACTGGACTTCATTAACTCCTGTGTGGAAGGATCTATGTTTACCAGCCCATCTGTGTTTTGGGTCCTTGCAGTCACTGGTTATCTCTTTGTGAACACTGTGAGTCTCTGGTGGTTTTGGGGGCCTGGGGTTCAGTCACCTTGCTATACAGGTAGGCTCGCTGCCGAGGTCTCACACAGAGACCCACCGTGAACACAGCATCGGTCCATCAGGGCAAAATCAGTAATTGAATTTCAAAGAGGAAAAGTCATTAGCAAGTCGATGATCGGCCAGGCTAACTCAAATACACACACCTGTTTTCGTTCCTTGTCGACTTCCATTCACTTCCTGGAGATGTACCCTAACATTAACCATGAACACTACTTGCCTAACCCTAAAATTCAGTAATTCACATCTGGTCCCCACAAGGAAGGCCAGGCCCCAACAACCAAGTAATACCAGGCACACACACAGTAATAGAAACTCATCAATTCAGCTGTTGCTAGGAGACTAGATGAACCAGTGTCACTCGTCCAGCTGACGTGAGGACACCGCAGCACCCGGAGCTCAGCAGACACAGATTCCAGAAATGGGAGATGGTTGGAGGTTTGTAGAAGCCCAGGAACTTAAACTCAGGGAAAAATGTTTTTCATGAACTCTTGCTGCTGTTAATGTTTTAAAGCATAAAAAACTAAAGTATTTTACAGCAATTATTTATACAGTTTAATCATTTGTCATTTAAACATTTTATTACCTCATGCATTTTATTTACTGTATATATTTTTTTAATTTTTATAATTAGAGTACATTTGTCTCATTGTTTTTTAGTCTGCTTTGTTTTGGACATTTTTGTTTGTCAGCCTTCTGTAAGGCGTTTTGAGCTGCATGAACCCTGTATGAGAAGTGCTTTGCACATAATGCTTGGATTTGATTTTGCTGCTGCAGCGGTGACAACTCTCGGCACTGACACCATCTCCTGGCTCCCTCTGCTGCTGCAAATTCAACTGTTTCAAGATTAAAAAGAAAGACCTCTCTTGGGACTTTAGAGGCTCTGTAGACAGAGGAGTGGTTCAGTTGTATTTTACTTGAGCACAGCCTGACTTCTGGTTTCATGACTACAGCTTGAGACTTTTTAAAGCTATATTTGCCACCATTAAAACCAGCCAATTAACTCTGATCAACCCCTCTTTGTAGTGAACCCATGCACTTACAAACACCTATCACCAGTTTACTTTCATACTGAAGAAAACCTAATGTGAATTCCCAGGTCTTTTCTGCTATAAGTGTATTTACGGACATTTATTCACAATCATGGGGGAGGGAGAGAGAGAGATACTTGAAGTGACATGAAATCTATAAACATGTATCATTGTCTGTGGGACTCCGATATTTGACACACATAACACCAGTACCTAAACAAAATGACATTTCATGACATCATCTGGCACTGTAAGATACTGTTGGGCTTTTTTTTTGTTTTACAGACAATTTATGGATTAACAGAGTTAATAATCAGCAAGTTATTTGATGACAAAAACAGGGCTTCAGTGATTAGTTGAATAATCAATCACAACAAAAATAATCAGCTTGTTTGTTAAACAATTTATGATTTAAGCACAAAACATCCCCAACATTTGATCTGCCACTTTTTCCAGTCTTAAGTTATACTAGACAATACTTTGGGTGCTATCTGAAGACATCTTTGGGCTGTGGAAAAAGGTTTGTTTTCACCATGTTTTACAAACTAATCCAATATATTAAATTGGAAAAAATAAAGGCTTTTTAATCAATAACCGCAGCCCTAATTTTGATACAAGATTCATTGACCAAGTCATTCTTCAAGCAAAAATTTATCAAGAGATAAAATTTGTTGCATTGCCTCATCTTGCATATACTAAACAATATTTTTAGGTTTGGTGCTGGAGTAGTTGTTGTTGAGCTGTGACATTTAACCCACAAACTGTACATTAAATGCTCTACATTAAAGGCCAGGAAAATATTTCTGTACAAAGCTGGATTAGTAGTTATTAGCATAGTTACAAATGTTAGTATGGTTTTGAATTAGGTTTCTTACCTCTGGACCAGGACCTGAAGCTCCGGTTAGAACCAGTTCAACCATCTGAAACCACTTTGACGCATAGTGACACACACAGAGAAATAAATGAGGCAGCCAGAATATGAAGGCAGGCAGAAATGGACCTTTTTTATTTTTCTCGGGCGACAAACAACAGTGGACTGTCCTGACCAGACCCGACGGAACCAGATAAAACCAGGCTGGGACCTGCTTTAATCAGCACAAACCAGAGTGGAACATAGCAGATCAAACCCGTCCTGACTACACTGAACCAGATGGAACTGGTTTGGGGTGAGCCTGAGTCACAGCAACAAAAATACTGAACCAAATATTGTTACCTTGTATTACCATGGCAACAGCCACAGAATATAGTCATCAGTATGGTTCAGTCAGGTCTGGTCAGATGGCACCTGGTCCAATAATCTCCTACTCCCTTCCTCCCTTTCAAGAAGTGAAGGGATTGAGGGCAGGTCTATTGAATCAGGAAAACAAAAAAGCTGATTGGTCCACAAACATTAAAAGCCCGCCCACCTGTTGTCACACTCCAAGCATCCATTGGTTGCCTATATCATTCGCAACCTCCCCACAAAAACCAAAACCAAAACAAAAACCCAGAGCAAGCCCTTCTCCCATTGGTCACCACAGCCTTTGCTAGGAAAGGCTATTTTTCCAATTAGTCAGTTTTGATAACGTGCCAACTGTCAGTCACTAAGCAGCGGCCAATCAGGTTACAGTACCTGTTGATCGGTCTGGAATTATGAAAAAAAAAAAAAAAAAAAAAAAAAAACGAAAGAATGATGAACAGGGAGATCAACCAATCAGATGACCTCATTCGACAAACAAACTGGAACTGGGAGGAGCTTCCAAGCTTCATATGGAACTTATTATTTTGACATTTTTTTGTTCTGTGTTTTTATCCTTTTTGTCCGTATGTGTGAGCCGTACATCAGTCTACTTCCTTTCTTTTCCCAGCAGCTGATTTCAGTGCAATGCATCATGGAACAATCGATTGCTAAGAAACGGTGTCACTACGAGTGTCGTGTGTGTGTGTGTGTGTGTGTGTGTGTGCGCGTGAGAGAGAGTGTGTGCGTTTGCGTCCTGTTGTCATGGAAACATGCTGCAGGGTTAGCGCTCCAGCAGCAGGGGTGGTGCCGTGTCGCATTGTGGGAACTTGTTTGTTCCATCTTTTTAGCTGGTGTCCATGGACTCCATGTTGGCGGAGCTCGAGTCCCTCTGGATGGAGTCAAAGATGGCCGCAAGCTCCTGATTGGACGAGATCTGGGACTGGAACTCTGACATCAGCGGCGACTTCTCGGCCTCTGGGATTGTCAGCAGAGCGACAACGGCTCGCATTGCTGACCTCTTCAGTTCATCCTGCTTCTCAAACTCCTGTTTCACCGAGTTCGCCTTCACCTGCAGGGGACAGAGAACGTTCACTCTTCAGCTGTAAATGTCAAGGTTTTACAGAAATTTATTTCCCAAAACTGGCCAAAAACACCAGAAAACAAACTGGGCAGGCTCTACTCACTGCTTTAGGGTGCTACCAGTCAGGAGTGGGCGTTTCATGAAACTACAGACCTGGTGTCAGAGAGTTTACGACTGTTTCCCCAGGTGGGTAGCACTCCCCATTACCAGTCAAATGACCAGGACATGTAAGCATGTACCTTGGTGGTGCAGGTGGCTCTCAGTGGTTCCACCAGTCTGTCCAGTCTCTGCAGAACAGCACTGGGACAGAGGGATGACAGTCGGGCCAGCATCAGGAAGGTCAGCATCTGGAAACACAACAACAACAACCTAAAAACACAGTCGGGAATCAGCAGCAGCACAAGCAGATTAGTAGAAGCTGGATTTAGAAGTGCTGCAAGTTTGGGTTTTAATATGTAGGAGATAAAGTCCTAACACAAAACTGCTCCACTTCTGAAGACCTGGGTATCCTGGTACTGATACTAGCAGGAGTGTCTGTGGCGCACCTTAATGTCGTAGTGGTCCTTGAGGCCGTCCTCTACGTGGTTGAGGAAGGTGAAGATGTCGAGTCGGTCCAAGCAGCTGTCCAGCAGAGTGTACATGCACTCAAACGCAGCCTTTCTCAGGTCCAAACCGTCATCCACCGTGTGTTTGAAAGGACCCATCTCCACCTGCAAACAGTCAAATATCTGAGCCCAGTCCACCTGCTGGCGAGTACCTGCGTTTACATCCTTGTGCTCTGGCTGCTCTCACCTCTCTGATCAGCTCCTTCCTCACTTTGGTCTCGTTGTAAAGCTGTGGAAGAACAGAGTCCAGCAGCTCTCGGATCAGACTGGGCTTATTATGGGCCGCGGAGTTAAACGTTACTAAGGCAACACGACGCACGTTCAGATCCGGGTCCTCCAGCGTCTTCAAGAAATCACCTGAGAAATAAAATCAGCCAATTATCTTCAAAGTGGGCTTAACACTGAGCTTCATACTTACTGTAGGGATCTAAGCGTGGTACCAGCCTGAACTGCTATAAATACATTTCTCAAAATTAGAGATGCACTGATCGATCTTTTAACAAGAGGGAAAAAAGCCTTTTAGGGCATCATCTTTCAAAACACACAGTGCTTTGCCGAGTCATCTGGTTTCATGTCCTCGTGTATCTGTCAGGCGTGCGTTACCTATGCAGTTCTTCAGCAGTGGGTCGATGGGCTGTGGCTGGTCAGAGATTGTGAACTTGACTGCCGTTACCACAGAGCTCCTGGCATACGACGAACCTACACACACACACACACACACACACATTCAGAAATCAATCAACAAATGACTACGTCAGGTCCAGTGGGTGTTTCATCCAGAAGTTGTGATTTATTTGTAAATTTTAACCTGTGACACACTTGTTTTGGAGACAGAAGCATTCTGATTGGCTAGGAAGGGCAGACTTTTTAAAATAAGCAATGTTCCTATTGGTCAGTCCTTATTTTTGTCTGCCTGTGGTCACCACTGAAGAGTCACTGATGCAACAAGGAAAAATCACTAAGTCCTAATATCAAAATTTGTAAGGATATATTGATCAGCTAATGATAAATCAGTTAATGGTTGTTCAGACTGACAATTCAAGTCTTTATGATTATCTGACAACAAATAGGAGGATGGTCTGTTTCACTAAATATGCAATAAGCATTCACTGACTTCATTTACATATTTACTATGGATCAGTTTGTTGTCATTATAAAGATTTTCTGTGCTAGTCACAGTTTGTCCATAACAAACACCATGTTCAAGCATAAGGGTGTCCATCAGTGCACATGGCACCAGGACACCTTAGGCCGATGATCGACTTTGTGGTTGTTTCATCTGACCTCCGGCCGTATGTCTTGGACACTCGGGTAAAGAGAGGGGCGGAGCTGTCAACTGATCACCACCTGGTGGTGAGCTGGATCCGATGGCGGGGGAGGAAGCTGGACAGACTCGGCAGACCCAAACGTATTGTGAGGGTCTGTTGGGAAC